TCAGTCTGTGCACGGATAGGCCTGTGCGCAACATGTCAGCTCGCCAACGTCTGGATGCCTTTTTTACCACTTTTTTTTCACACGTTCAGGTAGTACATCGTATTCTCTTGCCATACAAACTGGTTTGAGCTCGTTCGCAAAACTACGCAGCTCCTGACGCTTGTTCGTGCGTTTGCTGTCCTCAATCTGTGCAATGATAGGCCTGTGCGCAGCATGTCAGCTCGTCAACGTCTGGATGTTTCTTTACCACTATTACTTTGTTCAAAAGAGAAAATCTAACTCTCATAAAGCTGATGCATCGACTTATGTGACCAGTAGGGCTGTTAATATATTTTACCGGATCTTAAACGCAATTGACTGTATACGTATTAGTGATTACTCATATAATATTCCGCAGCTGTATGATATTGAATACAAAGATTTCATTCATGGCCCTTTTGATTATTTGGGAGTTTATTTGCTATCATAGATGGGGATTTTTAAATACCAGTAACTTCACTTGTATGTCTGTCAAAAATATATATAGTACAGTAATCGGATATATAGCTATCCTGTAAGTTTATGTATTGTGAAGTTCTATTGACGCGACACGGACTAACAGCGGGCTGCCGTCGTTTTTCAACATCCACGTCATTTTAACCATTCATTGGTTCGTTTGATTTACAGCAACAATGGTTGGCGATCGGGATAGATTTTGATTGGTTACAAATATTTGTTGTGCGACGAGTTTGCTAGAATTGGACTGCCAGCGCAGCTCTGCTGACCAATCGGGCTGTAGTTTCCAGCGCAATTGCTAAAAACTCCAACCCAGCGCATCCGCTCAAGTGCCAGCACAAGGCAAAATTGCTCAACCAAAGCCAGCGCAGCCGCGCAGCAGCTGTAACTGTCGCTGGCGCAACTGCGCTGCTGCTGTAACTGCCTCTAGCGCAATTGCAGCAGCGCCCGCCAAACGCACCATTTCCAGCGCTACGCAATTTCTCTCCCCTCCCCTCCCCAATCCCCCCAGCCTCCCCCTTCTCCCCATCGCAACTGCTCCAACTCTCCCACCTCTCTATCTTATTCCGCATGTTTCCATTCAAGTCTCAGCAGAAGCAGATTGATGCTCTACGTGTGTTAGTACGTGGTTTCACTTCATATCTCCAGTCGCCCTCGTACACTATCCTACCTTAGTGTGCACCTCTTCTAACAGCTACTGCCATGCCGTGCGTGCCTGCCAGTTTTGTCAGCCTGTTCTCATAGCTAGAGTTCGTTCCAGTAAGAGCTACCCTTTTCTCACCCTATGTCTCTTCTCAATCCCGATGCGCCATCGTAGGAAGTTGTGAGGGTGGTGGCGTGAATCAGATGCCACGCTACACACTCCTGGTGGGATACCTAGCTGTGAGCGCAATACCGTGAAACGGTCGCTTCGCTACGCGATCCTGGCGAGAATCGCGGCAGTGGGCGCGATGGCGTGAAGAGTGCACTGCGCTACCTGCTGCTAGCGGGATTCGCGGCTGTGGGCGTTTTGGCGTAAGGCGCACGGTCTGCTGCTGCTGCTGCTAGCCAGGTTCACGACTGAGGGCCTGGCTGAGTTCGGTTTCAGGTCGGAGTTTCGCGCACGGTCGCACCTCCAGTAACACAGAGCTATGCTATTGCTCTGCAACTGCTTGTACGATTTTTACTGTTTTTTTTGTCTTAACATTTGACCCTGTTTTATTGCAGACTCCAGACTATTAATCCCTTGTTTTAATAAGATCTCCATTTCAGCAGCTCATCTACACACCCTAATTAAAGTCGTTTCTTGGTCTTCTGTTTGTACCTTCTGTAAGGGCCGTTGCATTTTCAGATGTGTTTCTAATTGCCTTTTTTTTGCAGCCTTTATTATTAACCTTTTATTTGGACATTTCCACCTGACTTGTGTTTTGTTTGTATTGTCGGGAAATTCAGTGCTGATCAGTGCGTTATGCTTTGAGCAAAGTTAGTAGTGCCTCTGTAATGCAATGTTTTCTTTATCTTTGTTTATGCAACTTCAATAAATGATCTTTCAACATCCAGTGTACTGTACATGAACAACACATTTGAAGGTGATTTGTATGGTTTCAATCAGTATTTCATATGCTGAATGTTTATTCGAAATCGCTGAGATCTACTATGTATTTGGTTGCAGTTTGTATAACAAACAATTGCAAATTATATGCTGACCAGTATGGAATTGGAAACAGATGGTTACACGAATGCATAATGGAAAGCATGTGCCGATGGTATCCTTTTGGTATGCATAGGTGCTCTACCGTTTACTTACTAAACTAACCATACTAAATACCTACGACGCATGCTACTTTATAGTACCCCTAATCACCCATACTTTTTGCATACTGCAGAGTATGTTGCCAGTATATCTAGCGTATGTAAAACGATTCATGAAATTTGAGATGCAGCAGCACGTGGCTGAAGATGATGTGCCAGATGGGGCCGGGCAGCAGATCAACCACGTCCACGATCTGGTGGGGGGGGGGGGAAAAAATAAGAGAAAGAGAAAGAATGAGAGTTCTGTCCTCTCTCTTTCGTCCTGAGAAGGATGTGGTGAGAAGCGAGGAGAATCCGCTGGAATTCGAATCACGGTGTGGCGCCTCTCTGTCTGCGGCATCACTCACCTCGTGGTGCTTGTCGGCATTAATGGGTGCTGTGAGTTTGAGAGCATCATCTCCCGCAAGCACCTCATCTCCATTATGGTCTGCCATGATCAGCGCCAATGATCGACGTCGGCAAAAACGCTGTCGTTCGAAATCGGGAGGTTACTAGAAAGCACCGACTGAGAAATAAAAGCACGGCTCACACACCTATCTAGGTTTCTGTCGAGGGAAACTCTTATGTGGTGAAGCCGAGGGTTTGTTACGCTGGCTGCATATAATTTGGTGGTGCTCTGTTGCCACATAGCTTATGCGGCAACCAACGCACAAGCGGCGCCAAAGAGCTTCCAAACCATTACATCATTCCACCGGTTCCACGACGTTTCGCCATCGCCGAGCACAGCGATTACTCTGGTCCCAGTGGCCATTGTCGGACCAAAGCAACTGCCGTAGCTGTTGGGTTCGCTTCAATTTCACTAGGTTTTTCCTGTTTCTGGTTCAGACCACACCCGATATCTTTTGCTTCTGTCTCCCCTCACGTTGGTCGCGGTGCTACAACTGAGGGGCAATCCCAAAACACTTCGAGTGAACCACACGTAATGCGTCGCAAATTCAGCCCTGGATTTCGCTTTGACAAACCTTTCTCTCGCAAATCCGACTTTCGTCGGACTTTACCGAGCTAAGCGAAGTTATTGCATCGAGTAACATACGCGAGTCGCTAGTGCTCGTTTCGCTCCATCTGACCTTCTCACGCAGTTGCTGAAAAGGGTGATGCTCTAGAACGTGTTTCGACAATAGGATGAAACCAGGTCGCCGAGACGAGATGTGTTCGCAAACCTCGAGAATGTACACAAAACCACCACCGCACAGAACCGTCGATTTCAGGCGATGAACAGTACAGTAAACTCAAGGAGGGAACGAAGCAGATGAGCCCAAGAAATCAATGGGAGTCCCATGGGAGTTCCTCCAATTTCTCAGCGAATCTGAGCGACAATCAGCGAAAATCTGTAACACACACTCGGCGATTCGCCACAAGTCTTCCTGACCTTTCCCTCCCGAGTTCGTTTCACAGTCGCGCAAGTCGTACGCGCAGATCACGCAGGCGATGTCCCAGCCAGTCGAGAGGAAGCAACACCTCACCTAACCGTGGTGACCACCAGGGCCTATGTTATCAGAGCAATTACCCTGTTTTGACTGAAATTATAGGGTAATCTCTGGGCAAGCCCTGTTTTACACAAGGTAGTTCTGCGACCAGCCCGTAAAACTGAAGGGCCTTTTACGAGGTCGCTCGGATCCCTCCGGGATGTTTTCGAGGGGACCCGGATTGTTTACCAGCACATATTCTCCCCGACCTTTCTTCGCATCCCCCTCCCGCTAAGTCCTCGAAGTCTCTCTCCCCTCCCCCTCTAGAGCCGCTTCTCCATTTCCAAAGAATTGTTCGAGTCTACAGAAGTCTCTCTCCCACCCCTCTAGAGCGGTCCCTTCATCTCCGAAGGATTTGTTGAAGTCTCTCTCCCACCCCTCTAGAGTTGCTGCTTCATCTCCCACTATATTTTTCGAAGTCCACAAAAATTCCCTCTCCCACCCCTGATGAGCTGTCTCTTGTGAGTTTCTCGGTCCTTCCCCCAATTCCGCGAGATTCTGGTTGTGCATGTTTTCAGGCCTTTTCTCGCTCGAACCCGGATTCGTGAAGGCTTTTTTCCCGCTGGCTCGGATTTTACAGGGTCTTTTTCACAGGCGCCCGGATCGTCCGAGCTAGCAAAAATCCTAGCAATAGCCCTGGTGACCACGCCACCGTCACGTGTGCTGCCAACTGTGACTAGATGCTCCAGTCTTCCGATTTATTCGGTTTTCGCCACTCCATAACGTAGAGTTCGTGTTTCTCTGGAGTTTCAACGTGAGTGTCGTGTACTTGCTGGCAAAAGCTACCTCCGTTACACCTCTCCCTCGCTCGCACGCACGTCGCCTTGCCGCGTAGGAATGTTCGGACGGCCGCGCATCGCGGCGCGTCAAATAGTTCGATGCGCAGCAGCGCCTACCCTCTACCGGATCTCGAAACACTCTGTCAACTTATCGGCCGTTCTGTTTGAACCGTTACTGTGTAAACGGACCGCTCGTTTGATTACGTAAAGAAACACCGACCCAATCGACTGCTAGCCGACTGCCAACCTTTCATTGCCAATCGCGTGGTAACCGGCTGTTACCAACTGCTAGCCGAATACTAACCGATTGCGAGCAGACTTCTGACCGTCAATGGAGAGCGAGCGCGAGAAGCGGAAGCGGGAATGGGCGGCGAGGTCGGTAGCGGAGGCGGAGGAGCGGAGAGTGCGGAAGGCGGTGCGCGCGGCGCTGGGTAAGGCGGAGAGCGCGAGGAGCGACGAGGAGAGACAGATGTTGGAAGACAACAGTGGAATTGCACGAGAGGTGAGAAGGTCGCATGGCGTCGCACGTCGTGTCACACCCTCGCAAGGCGGTGCGCGCGGCGCTGTGTAAGGCGGAGAGCGCGAGGAACGACGAGGAGAGGCAGCTGCTGGAAGCCAACAGTCGACTCGCACGCGAGGTGAGAAGGCCGCATGGCGTCGCATGGCGTGTCACACCCTCTCACGGTCTAACACCTTCTGAAAGCCCGTTAAATGGGTGGTGGCCCCCATGCACTCTCATTTTCATTCCAGCTCGTAGCCTCGCATTTCTCCAGGTGACCGTGGCTGAAGGTATTTTGTTTCATTTGAATCCACCGCCTCGTGCCACGTGTCATGAGCAATGCGACGAGCATTTGACACGTGTCACTAGCTATGCGGGGGTGTTGTTTCGTGGGTGGGTGGGGGGTTGCTTGCTCTTTGCAGTTCCCTCTCATGCATTGGACTGGAGAGAATGTTGAGAGTCGACTCAAAAGCAAAATAATAACCATCTTCTTGTCATGTGCTTTGCAGATCGCTCAGTCGTTGGAGAAAGCGAAGGAACGGCAGCAGCAGAAGAAAGAGCGGATGCTAGAGGTTAGTCTTTTTTCGTCTAAACGCGTGCATGTATACTCACGAATGTGTGTGTCACATTTCTACCTGCTAGGGTGCTTGTGGTAGCGCTGACGCAGAGGGAAGTGGGGCGGATTGATGGGGGATTGTGGTTGTGTGAACAGCGGGGACGAGTTACAGGAAGGATGTGGGTGGGGTGTGGGGGTTGAGCCGTTGGCCCACTGCACAGCCCCTTAGGCCCTTGTCCGCTCCACTTTCTTTTGACAGCTCCCTCTCTTCTCCTCCACTCCCCACCCCTCTCCTCCCCTTTATCTTCATGCTCTCCCCCATCCGGACCATCCCTTCTTTGTGCCATCCCCACGGGAGGAGGACCCCCGGAGCAAGTAGAGGCGAAGTATCTGCAGCTCTTTTGAAGCGCCTCAACCTCCTCTCCCTCAACCACATAGCATCCTCCCCCCCTGCCTTTCCCGTCTCACCGTTCTCCTCCGATGCCCCATCCCCACAGGAGGAGGACCTTCCACAGCGAGTAGAAGCGAAGATGCAGCAGCTTGTGCTGGAGTGCGGGAGATAAGGAGAGCTGCCAAGACCCACCAAATGTCAATCGCGCCTCAATCCTCTCCTCCGTGACTCGCACCCTCCTTCCCCCTTTCCCCCTCCCCCCTCTCCTCCCCCCTCTTCCCCACTCCCTCCCCGCTTGCGCACAGGAGGAGGACCCCCCAGAGAAAGTAGAGGCGAAGATTCAGCAGCTGCTGCGGCTGGTGCTGGAGTGCGGGAGGTTTGGAAAGGGAGGGGCCAATGGTTTAAAAGCAGCAGAGGCAGGTGAACTTGAAACAGCATCAGCAGCGGCAGCAGCACCAGCAGCAGCAGCCGCAGGGGCCCCGGCAGAAGCAGAAGCAGCAGGGGCTGTAAGAGTGAGAGGGGGCGTGGTGGTTCACAGTGGGGCGGGGCTGAGCACAGCAGCAGGCATACCAGACTTCAGAGGGCCCAAGGGCGTGTGGACGCTGCAGGGGGAGGGACGGTGGGAGGAAGCTGCGGCGGCCATGGGGAGAAAGTACGAGGAAGCTTCCCCCACGGTGGCGCACATGGCGGTGGCAGCGCTGGTGCGGGCTGAGATCGTGCAGCACGTGGTCACGCAGAACGGTGGGTGCAGATAAATAGCTACAGGGTGTTGGTGTGGTGGGTGGTCGTAAGGGTAGCGATGGTGGTGGGGGGCTGGGGTAGTGCAGCACGTGGTGACCCAGAACGGTGGGTGCAACAGAACGGTTGGTGCAACAGAACGGTGGGTGCAGCAGAACGGTGGGTGCAAATAAATAGCTACAGGGTGTTGGAGGGGTGGTTGCAGGGGCAGCGATGGTGCGGGCTGGGATGGTGCAGCACGTAGTGACTCAGAACGGTGGGTTGGGGGGGTGAGAAAGCTACTCTGGCTATGCTGTCAACAGCGCTGGTGGTGAGTAGCGGTGGCAGCGATGGTGCGGGCTGGGATGGTGCAGCACATATTGACTCAGAATGGTGGGTGCGGCGGAACGGTGGGTTGGGAAGATTACGCTGTGTAAGTAGTAAGGGTAGCTGCGCTGGCAGTAATGGTGCGGGCTTGAATAGTACAACACGTGGTGACTCAGAACGGTGTGTTGGGAAGATTACACTGTCTATTCAGTAAGAGTAGCTGCGCTGGCAGCAATGGGGGGGGGCTGGGATAGTACAACACGTGGTGACTCAGAACGGTGGGTGCGGCAGAACGGTGGGTTGGGCTGGGTTGGGAGTACGAATGGCGGGTGTGGATAGATGGTGATGCGCCACCACACGGGTGTTTGCAGGGAGAGCGGTGGTGAGGGCTGGGATAGTGCAGCACGTGGTTCGCAGAACGGAGGACTGGGTTGGGAGTAATGGGAGGGGAAATGGGAGGCTCGGCACCATTTTCCGGGCTGACCGCCCTTCGCCCCCCCTCCACCAGGGCCTACAGAACACCGCCGTGGTGTCACGTTCTGTGTCACGTGATGGGGCCTGTTCTGTGTCACGTGATGGGGCCTGTTCTGTGTCACGTGATGGGGCCTGTTCTGTGTCACGTGATGGGGCCTGTTCTGTGTCACGTGATGGGGCCTGTTCTGTGTCACGTGATGGGGCCTGTTCTGTGTCACGTGATGGGGCCTGTTCTGTGTCACGTGATGGGGCCTGTTCTGTGTCATGTGGTGGTGACACAGAACAGTGGGTTGGGCATGCGTTCCCTTTCTTGTCCCTATCTGAGCTGGATGAGTCGGTGTGCCAAGAGAGTTGGCGGGACTGTGGGGGCGGGTACCTGCGTCCTCTTATTGCTTTGCCCCTTCTTGGTTCCGATTTCCTTTTCCAATCAGCCCTTCTCAAACCTGCCCTTTCTAACCTGCCCTTATCAACCTGCCCTTATCAACCTGCCCTTATCAACCTGCCCTTCCCAATCTAACTCTCCCAGTGGATGGCCTTCACTCTCCCCTCACCGTCTATCTTAGCTGCATGGGACGGTGTATTGGGAGAGGTGCCTTGGAGTGTGGGGTGGGGCAACCTGTGCCCTCATCTTGCCTATTCCCTTTCTGCTTCCCCTTCCGCTTACCAGCCCTTTCTCCCCATTCCCTCTCCCAACACCCCTGAATGCTTCTGCTTCTCGTCAGTGGACGGCCTTCACTACAGAAGCGGCATTCCATTCAGGTGTCGATCAGAGCTGTGTGGATCAGTGTACCGGGAGAGAGGCTGGGAGTGTGAGCCGTCCAAGTATATCAACCTTTCTCTCTCACTCCCGTCCCGTCCAACCATACTCCCTCTTCTCCACCTTCCACCCTCCTCACCAGTGGACGGCCTTCACTCCCGAAGCGGCATCCCATCAGACCGTCTGTCTGAGCTGCATGGCTCAGTGTATCGGGAGAGTTGCCGTGAGTGTGGGGCGAAGTACGTGCGTCCGTTTGATGTCACTGCTGCCAGAGGGTCGTCCTACCACCGCCACAAGACTGGAAGGTTGTGTACCGCTGTGACTGGTGCTGGCACTGGTGCTGCTGCGTGTGACAGTGGTGCTGGCACTGGTGCTGCTGCATGTGCCACTGGTGATGATGCTGGTGCTTCTAAATCGGCACATCCTACTGTTGATGTATCTGCCAGGGAGGAGTGTAACGAGAGGGAGGGGAACGAGGAGGAAGAAGAGGAGGAGGAGAAGCAACGGAGGGTGCCAAGTGCCCAGAATCCTGTTCGGAAGCCAAGAAGTTCGGCAGCAGTGCGGGCTCGAATGTCCACAGGAGGAGGGGGCGGTGTGAAAGAGGAAAGCCAGGAGGTGCTGGTGGGCAATGGGAGGAAGAGGCATGAACCTGGCAAGGCGAGTTTTGAGTTGACTCAAAAGTCAGCTCAGATGTCCACAGGAGGAGGGGGCAGTGTGAAAGAGGAGAACCACGAGGTGCTTTTGGGTGAGCGGAGGAAGTGGCGTGAACCTGGAGCTGCGACTTTAGAAGATTCTGAAGGCACTCCTCGAGTAGTGCTTCGTGATCATGATGAGGATAAAGAAGGTGATGATGCACAGATGGACGATGAGGGGGGTGTGAGGAGATGGCGAGAAGCGGAGGAGAAGCAGCAGGGGAGGGGAGGGGAGGAGAAGGATGAAGTGACAAGAGAGTGTGAGCGCAGGGGAGCGCGGGAAGAGGAGCAAGGAGAGGTGACGAAGGAAGGGGAGGAGGATGGAGAGGAGGAGGGAGGGGGGGAGAGGCATGAGGGTGGGGCCGTGTGCGGGGGCGAGTTGGTGGATTCGATAGTGCACTTTGGGGAGAGGATAGACGATGAGGAGTTGAGGACGGCGAGAGAGGCATGCATGTGCGCACACGTGGCGCTCTGCCTTGGCTCCTCCTTCAAGGTTCGGTTGAGTGATGGAAGTCTGTCTGTGTTGACTTGCCAGTGGAACTTGATTCATGCAAGCATGGATTATTATGACTTTTGAGGCGCCTCAAAAGTCATTATTATGCATGGGTGTACATGTGGCGCGCAGGTGCGTTCTGCTTGTGTTCAATTGCCAGGAAGCTTCCGCATGTTGCTCTGTTGATTTCCGTAAGTCAAGTATGGGCGCGCACGTGGAGCTCTGCCGTGGCTCCTCTTTCATCGTGCGTTTGAGTGATGGAGGTCCGCTCAGTGTCCATTCTCTTGAACCGCCCTAGCTTCAAGCCACTCTAATCCTTTTCGCATCATGCATAACACAAGACGCTGAGAGCATGGGCCGGAAGGGAAGGAGGCCGTTCAGGCAACAAAAACTGATGGTCGCACTCTCCTTCTCTCCCCTCAATCAACCCACGGGTTCCCACCACATCTTTGGCACCACCAATCAGCCTTCATCACCAGCCTTTTGGCCTTGCAGGGTATCTCTTAGAATTCTCAAGAACACGTGTTAATACTCTTACAAGCCCCTTTACTGCTTCGCTCTGCGCACCCCCACCAGGTGCCACCAGCCAGAGAGCTCCCTCACCTGCCAGAGAGCTCCCTCACCTGCCAGAGAGCTCCCTCACCTGCCAGAGAGCTCCCTCACCAGCCAGAGAGCTCCCTCACCAGCCCGCCAACCAGATACTCTTCATTAATCAACCTGCGCGCACCTCTCGGCTGCCACGGGTTGACTTTTGAGTCGTCTCAAAAGTCAACTCGCCTGGCCGCCAACCAGATAGTCTGCAGCAACAACCTTCTGTGCACACCTCTTGGCTGTAACGTGCGCTCATAAACTGTTACCCATACTATCTCCACCCTTGGCTGCTTCGTTTTCCTCACCCCATCCAGGTGCCACCAGCCAGCAAGCTCCCTCGCCTGGCCACCCTCCTGGTGATCATCAACCTTCAGCGCACTCCTCTCGACCGCCATGCATCCATCACCATCACAGGTCGCACCGATGCCGCTTCCCCCCCTCACTCTCTCCCTGCCGCCTCTGATCCCCCCCATGTGCCACCAGCCAGCAAGCTGCCCCGCCTAGCAGTTCCAGCGCACCCCTCTCGACCGCCACGCTTCCATCACTAACCGAGCTCGCATCAACGCCGTTATCCGTCACCCGCTGCACCTCTCCCTGCCCTCTTCCTCCCTCCCTCCCTCCCTCCCTCCCTCCCTCCCTCCCTCCCTCCCTCCCTCCCTCCCTCCCTCCCTCCCTCCCTCCCTCCCTCCCTCCCTCCTCCCTCCCTCCCTTCCTTCCTCCCTCCCTCCCTCTCTCCCCCCACCCCATCAGGTACCACCAGCCAGCAAGCTCCCTCGCCTGGCTACCCGTCTTGTCATCATCAACCTTCAGCGCGCCCCTGTCGACCGCCACATGTGTTGATACTGTTACCACCCTTAGCTGCATCATTCCCTACCATGACCACCCCCCCCCCCCCCCCCCCCCCCCCCCTCACCAGGTGCCACCAGCCAGCAAGCTCCCTCGTCTAGCAACTCACATCGTGATCATCAACCTTCAGCGCACCCCTCTCGACCGCCACGCTTCCATCACCATCCGAGCTCGCATCGATGCCGTTCTCCCCCGCCTGCTGCACCTGCTGCACCTCCCCCTGCCCACTTACCACCGCCACTCCGACCCCCTCCTCTTACTCCTCAGCACCGCTCTCCACTCCCTCACACATGGGCCTCACCTCCCCCTCTCCAGCGCTCCCCCCCTTTTTCCGCCACTCAAGCTAAGCACGCAACCTGCAGAGGAGAAGGGAAAGGGCGTGACTAGTGAATCACCTCAGAAGGTGCGTTTATCCCTGCCCCACCATCCGTAGCATGCAGCAACGAGTCTGAGGTGAGTGATGTGACTGCGGGTGGAATTGTGCGTTCTAACCCCATTCATTCAACAAGTGCTAGTGGGTCTTCTCTCTACTAACACTGTTGCATGCTAACCCCGTGCATTCAACAGGTCAGTAATGTCCCAAGTGTTAGTGGGGACACCGCCAGACCCATTCTCTTCTTGCACAAGGCAACAGGGACTAAGGGGAGGAGGAAGAAGCAGAAAGCTAGGACCTCGTTTCCTCGCCCGACCATGTGAGCTTCGAGCAACAACAATGTAGGTTGATATACCAATGTGTGGTCAGAAATACAGTATTTTCTGGGTGTAACACCCGCCGATTTAGCAGTCCCCTGGGTCGTTTATGTGGGGTTAGGAGTACGGTACATATTTTGAATTACCTTGAGAGGACCCCCGTTTTGACGTAATTCATTTCAAGACACCCTTTCCCATCTAATCAACGTATTTTGCATCATTCATAGTGATGTTGTGTCAGATTTTAGGTGGCGATCCTTGACGTTGTATCAGATGCAAAATTTGGCGCGTTGACAGTGTCAGGCCGAAGTCAATTATGAAAATTGCTTGCATGGCTGTTCGATACTGTGAAGAAATTATATTGTGTTGAAGAAATAAATGGGGGTGTAACTTACTTGTTTATGTGCCTTATTGTTACGGGTGCAATGAATCGAAGTAGCGAGAATTGCACTAAGGTGTCAAACGAGTACAAAATGTGAGCGAAGGCATGAGCGAACATTTATACGCGAAACATGCAAACGGTAACGCGGTGCGTGCGAGCTAGCTAGTGCTACGCTGGCAGCGAGGCTCGGGCTAGTCCCGAAGCGTAGGCCGATGCGGCCGGGCTAGCAGTGCGAGGTTTGGTGAAACAGTGCGCGCGAAGTCGGCGAAGCCCCGTTAGCAGTAACGGGCGAACAACGGGTGCTGTTGTACGATGTTATGAGTTGTGAAAAATAATGCGGAAGTGATTACAACGTCTGAGAAAACAACGAGGCCTAGGACTATTATAGCAATGTTAGCTAGGCCGAGGTCGCGGGGTCGCGAGATGGTTGGGTGCAGGTTCGGGGTTGGAAAACCCGAAGGCGACGCGGTGGTGGCTCGAAAGGCGAGGTCGGCGGACCGAGCCTGTTTTTCCGAAAACCGGGGTTGTACGCGTATAGTGTGACCCAGTAAGGAATCCGGAAAATTCCTTACACTACCCCCCCCGTTAAGAAAGGTGGTGAATATCCGAGACACCTCGGCGGGCCAGATAAGCATCCACAACCGGATGTCCCTGTAGTGAGTCGGCTGCGACATACGTGTCATCCTCGCTCGTGCGTTCCTTCCAGCGAAGCAGGAATTTTACTGAGCGACCGGCGGCAGTCAAAACCACGCGATGATTGAGAATCTTCCAAGGTTCCAGCGTGGGTTCGGCCACGGGGCGTGTGGTCGGCGCGACAGCTGGCCGAGCGACAGCTGGCGACTGCGGCGGTTCGTAGTGGCGAAGCAGGCTGACGTGGAACGCGTCATGGATTTTCGAGTCATCTGGCAGCAACAGCTTCGCGGTGACAGGTGTCACCATCTGGATGACGCAAAATGGTCCCACGTATCTGGGCCGTAGTTTCGCTGGCTGCGGCAGACGAAGGTTCTTGGTGTCCAGAAGTACAACCTGCCCTGCACGGAAGGGTAAATTCCGTCGATGTTTGTCCGCCTGGTGGCTGGCCGTGGTATTAGCCTTACGAATGAAATCAGTCGCCTTCGTGCGGGCTGTCTGCAGTTCCGTGACAAACCGCTGCGATCGTGGTACCGGGTTGTCCAAAGTCGTTGATGAGGGTACCACAGGGTCTATCCCGTAATTCAAATAGAAGGGTGATTGTTTAGTCGTGGCCGAAGGGGCGTTGTTGTACGCGAATTCCTGCATCAGCAGCGAGTCCTCCCACTTGCGAATATCCGAGCAGTTGGTACAAATCAGCTGCTCCATAGTCTGATTTGTCCGTTCTGTCTGTCCGTCGGTTTGCGGGTGGTATGACGACGAAAACTGCAGGCGGGTACCGTACTGTGCCCACGTCTCCTGCCAGAACTTCGACGTAAATTTCGGGTCTCGATCGCTGATGATCGCCGAAGGTAACCCGTGTAGGCGTACGACGGTGGAGATGAAGAGTTTTGCTGTATCTTCGGCTGTGATCGTCGTACGGCATGGTGCGAAATGCGCCATTTTCGTCAGGCGATCGACGACGACCATTACCGAGTCGTTGCCACTTGTGCCAGCTGGAAGCCCCGTGACGAAATCCATCGTCACCTGTTGCCACGGTCGTTCGGGTGGCGCGAGGGGTTGCAGCAATCCAGCTGGCCTTTGTCGCGACGACTTCATTGCTTGGCAGGTCGGGCACGTTGACACGTAGCGCTGCACGTCGGTGAGCATATCCGGCCAGAAATATTTTCGCTGCAGCAGCTTCAGTGTTTTGTCGATGCCGAAATGCCCGGAGAGGTTGGAGTCGTGTACCTCCTGCGTCAGCAACTCTCGTAAAGGCTGGTAGGCGGGTACCCAAATCCGGTTCGTACCGGCTTTTAGGTAGTACTTGCCGTGTCGCGTGGCAGCCTGTTGGTGCGGGTTCCTGAAAAACCCGTCAATCTTGTAGCCGTAGGTGAATAGTCCGATCAGAATCGGGTTGGTGTGGGCGATTAGTACCGCCGCGTTCTGCATGGATGGTCGGGTGAGGGCATCAGCGATGTTGTTGGCGCCCTTCTTGTACGTGATGGTGTACCGAAAGTTGGACTCGAGGAAGTCCAACCACCGGATTTGTCGTGGGTTGAGTGTCGGTTGCGTGCGCATGTACTGTAGCGATTTGTGGTCGGTTCGAATTGTTACGTCGGCTCCCGTGAGGTAGCAGCGCCAGGTACGAAATGCGTGGACGATGGCCAGCATTTCTTTGTCGTGGACTGGGTAGTTGCGCTCGGGTGGCTGCATCTTGCGTGATTCGTAGGCGATGGGTTGCAGCCCGTTGCCGAAGTCCTGTAGCAGGACGGCGCCGACGGCAAAATCGCTGGCGTCCGTGATGACTTCGAACGGTCGAGATGGGTCGGCGAGGCGGAGCACCGGGGGCGAACCCAAAATGTTTTTGTGTGCATCGAAGGCGAACTGCTCCTTCTCCCCCCACCGAAAATGACTGTCGTGATGCAGCAGGTCGGTCAGCGGCTTGGTTATCCCTGCCATATCAGGTACAAAACGGCGAACGTAGTTAACAAACCCCAAAAAACTTTGCAACTCAGGGATATTAGTCGGCGGCTTCCACTTGATGATGGCGTCCATTTTACGCGGGTCGATTTTGATGCCGTCGCCGGAAACCACGTGCCCCAAAAATTCCAACTCCGGCTTTAGAAACTCGCACTTAGACCCTTTCGTAATCAGCCGATGCCCCTGTAAACGCCGGAACACCTCCTCCAAATCCCTCAGATGGTCCTCTTTTGTCGCGCTGTAAACCAGGATATCATCCAGGTACACAATCACTTTTTTGTCCAGCATGTCCCGAAAGATCCCGTTCATCGTCAGCTGGAACGTCGAGGGCGCGTTTGTCAGTCCGAACGGCATCACAGTAAATTCATAACTGCCGTAGGGTGTGCGAAAAGCCGTCTTCGGGCAGTCGTCAGCGAACACGCAAATTTGGTGGTAGCCTCCTCGCAGGTCGATTTTGGAGAAATAACGAGCTCCGCGAAGTTGATCCAGTAGATCGTCAGTTCGCGGGATCGGGTAACGCGATTTTATCGTGACCCGATTCAGCGCCCGATAATCAATGCACATGCGTAGGCCCCCGTCCTTCTTCGGCGTGAACAGTATCGGCGCTGCATACGGCGATGTGCTTGGCCGTATAAACCCCTTGGCTAGTAGATAATCCAGCTGGCTCCGCAACTCGGCGAGCTCTGGTTGGCTGAGCCGCCACTGTGTCCGCATAGTAGGTTGCGCGCCGGGCTCCAGCTGGATTCGATGATCTTCTGGGCGCTGAGGGGGCAGGCCATCCGGGAGGTCATCCGCGAAAATTTCGGGATACTTCCGAATAATGCTCGCCAACTCCTCAGGGACTGCTGCGCAGAGCGTGTCGATGTCCGTGATTTTCTCGGAAGCTGCGACCTCGTACAGATTTACCAAGAAAGCCTGAGCTCCGCTGTTCATCGCTCGTGCTATGTTGACGGCGTTGACACGTGTCGTCACCGGCTCTGTTAAATTTAGCAGGCAGAAACAGAATTGAAGAAAGGAGGGGTTTCACTAGCAGTAGTTGGGATACATATAGCAAACCCTAACTGGGTTGTACTCGCTATAGAGCACCCCACTACAGGCTAGATAATAACATTCTGACACACCCCCATAGCCAAAGTGGGGTGTAATCAGCACAATGAGCAGGCATAGCAGGAGCTCACAATAATAAGCAAAGCTAGAGGTAATCACAGCGGGCAAGTGAGGAGGAGGAGGAACTGTGGAAGGAGAGAAGATGGGAGGCAACGACTGAAGCTGCAGAGGCACGGGCACAGGAGCGGCTGACTCAGTGGCTACCGAAGCAAGGGCGCGGCCCCCAGGGCGCCACCATGGGGCAGCGAGGGGCCGCGCGCGGCCCCCCAGGGCGCCGCGACGGGGCAGCGGGGGGGTCGCGCACGGCTCCAGGGGCGGCTCGCGGGTCCCCGGGGGCGACGCGAGGGTCGACGGGACGCCGCGCGCGGGTCCAGGGGGTCGACGCGACCGTCGACGGGGCAGCGGGGGGTCGCGCGTGGCTCCCCAGGGCGGCGCAACGGGGTGGCGGGGCGACGCGACCACCGACGGGGCAGCGGGGGCAGCGCGCGGGTCCCCCAGGGCGACGCGACGAACAGGGCGGGGGCGCGCGCGGGTCCCCCACGGTAGGAAACCGCCGCACGCCTCGGGGTGCACGGCGGGCAGAAACTCGCCGCGCGCCCCGAGCGCACGGCGGGATGAAAAAAAAAAACCTA